CTGCATGTTGTTGCATGTTCGCTTTCAGTTTTATTCATGTGGGGGATTGTTAGAGAAAATGGTTTATCACCATTAATTTTCAAAAATTTTGAGCTATAATTTATGTAGGACCCACACCTCGGGTTTGGTGGGTCCGAGTGGTAACGCGTTCCTTGCCATGTGGTGAATAAGAATATATATTCAGGTGGTCAAAACCATTTTCAAGTGAATGAGAAATTGATACTGAAGTGAGCCTCATGAACATGAATATGTTTGGTGTGGTTCCCATGAGTTGGTCTCTAAACCTTGTCCCACATAGAAACATGGAAGAGTTTCTATAAGTATATAAACTCTAAGTTGGAGACCTTGAGTTGGGTCCCAAGGGGTACCTAAGTTTTATAAGAGGAGTTATGGACAAACCCAAAACCATCACACACACGCGCGCCGTTATCCGTCCGTCCGGCCGGTCGATCGGGTCGGGACAGGCACGGGTGTGGGTGTGGGTCAAACCCGTCCTTATTTTTTTCTCTAAAATTATTTGAATATTTCGAATAATTTTTTGCGGGAAAAATTCAAATTCCAAAATTTTCGATTGCAACTCTTCTTCATCTTCGACCAGTCGTGTCTCTAGTTCGGTGACTGTTCATCACAACTCTCTTCCATTCCAGAAAAGGCACTTCACTGCCTATATATATAGCAACCCTCCATTCCAAAATTAGTGAGTTTTTTCTTTCCTTCCATCTTCTCTCTTTGCTGCTTCCTGCGTTCATCTTGCATTTTGTGAGAGTTTTAAAACACAACCTGGTTCACTGTACAAACAATACGCTGTGTTGCATCTGTTTGGGGTGATTGTTGAATCCTGAAGGCAGGACGTCCATTATTCTCGAGTACCTTAGGAGAGGACGAATTTTTCAGGAAATTCAAATTCCGAAATTTTGAATTCAAAATTTTTTCGGGCCAAATCTTCTCCATCTCCGACCATTCACGTCTCCGATCTCGCAACGGTTCTACGCAACTGTTCTCTGTTTCAAAAAAAGGCACTTCACTGCCTATATATATAGCAACCCTCCATTCCAAAATTAATGAGTTTTTTCTTTCCTTCCATCTTCTCTCTTCGCTGCTTCCTTCGTTCATCTTGCATTCTGTGAGAGTTTTAAAACACAACCTGGTTCATTGTACAAACAGTACGTTGTGCTGCATCTGTTTGGGGTGATTATTGAATCCTGGAGGCAGGACGTCCATTAGTCTCGAGCACCTTAGGAGAGGATGAATTTCTGTCTTAAGGACACAGTGTTCAAACACTGGCCTCAATCACAAATTTGTTCTACATTTGATTCTACAAAGAAAAATTGTAAGTTAACTTAAGTTCAGTGTTTAATTATTTACTGTATTTAATTATTCTGTTAAATTAATATTATCGAAAAATATTTCCAACAGGTATAATATGATCATTTGCATCTTGTTATGAAGCTTAATATAATATCAATTCATTGTAGGCAAACAATTTGGCATATTGTGCTCAACTAACATTTATGACACTACTTCAAGGTGGGTATGACATTGGGTTTCAAGATTCTTAAGCCTCAAATTCAGATTTTCGACCAACAAATACTATAATGTGTAGTTAGGTACTTTTGCTGCTGTTTTGGTCTTGTTTTTGCTGAATTTGCTACTATTTTGGTGCTGCATTACTGCTGAAATTGCTGCTGTTTTACTATTATTTTGTGCTAAAATTACCATTGTTTGTTGCTGCTGAAAATGCTACTGTTTTGGTGCTATTTTGCTATTGTTTTGTGGAGATATTATTGCTGTTGATGCTGCTATTTTATTTAATTTTTTTTTCCAGGGTTTAGATGGCCACCAAGAGATGGAAGGCACTTCAAATTTCAAGCATAGGAGATGAATTGTTTTTGGACTTGCTTTTAAATTTTGCATCTAATTGCTCAATTTGTTATTGATGCTGCTGTTTGTTGCTGCTGCTGGAGCTCTTGGAGTCAACATGTGAAGATAAATGCATTGGGGTTGTTGTAAAATTTGAGTAGCATTTGTTATAAAATTTGGGTTATTAAACAAATCAGGACAAAATAATAATATGTACTTAATTTTTTGTGTGTACAATGCATGCCTATTAAGAGGCAATTGCTCTTATTTAAGCCAAAGTCAAATTTGTTCCAATAGCTATTAACAGAGGATCCAAACACAGATAAGCAGCCCACAGACATACTTTAATACAAATTTTGATTCAATAAACATGTTCAGGAGCCCCATTACAGTGTCCACCCAAATACAACAAAACAATAATATATACCAGCTCAAACAAAACATATACAAAATATAACCTCTCATCACTCGACCAACAAGACCTCACAACACTCAAGAAACAACATCATCTTGCAACCTGCAAAACAGAGTATATATACATATATATGTAAACAGTTAAGCAATGATACACTCTCAATATGGCTAGTGAAAGGTGTGTAGTATAAATTCCTTACAACACTCCTCTATGATTTGGTATAACACTTATATCAGCTCCTTGTAACCTACACATTAGCAAATAGTTAGAAACACTCATATATGATGATGCTGTTACAGTTATAAATGTAGCAAACAATATATGACAAGCCATATAGCGATTCTGGTTTAGATCCGACCCTTTTTATGTTTTGGATCCGGGTTTCATTATCTTGTATAGTTATTCATTTCTTGTTTCCCTTTACTTCTCCTGAGTTTGGCTATTGGGATGTGTTGGTTGCATTTGGAACAGGTTGGTAGCTTGTTTCTCAAACTGTTGCTGCCCAGAATTTTGCTTCTTTGTTCGAGTGACACTTATTGTGCTCGAGTGGCCGCTGTGGATTTCCAGTAATATTGCAGGTATGCAGAGATACTAGGAGTTGGCATTTTTTGCTTAAGTGGTATTTCTTGCGCTCGAGCAAGCCTTCTTATGCTGGAGCGGTGGTTCTTTGTTTGTAAAACTTATGGGAGTTGGTATATTTCGCTTGAGCTAAGCTTCTTGCACTCGAGCGGTGCAACTTATTGTGTCTGGTCACTCGAGCAACACTTTTTGTGCTCAAGCGGTCTACGTGTATATCAGTTTGTAAAGTCATTTTTCTTAGTCACTTTTTCACCTCTATCTTTCTCTAAACATTTCAAAACCTTATTTTCTCTCTCTCTCTCTCTCTCTCTCTCTCTCTCTTAAACTCAGTTATTTCACCAAAATACACCTAGATCCGTCGATTTTTTTACCCGTGTCCTTTTGTTAAAAAACTAGAGCTCGACGAGGGCTTCATTCTAATTAGAGCAAAGTTGATTGTCGGCATCCTTGAGTTTTCTTCACTCTCTCTCTCTCTCTTTCTCTCTCTCTCGTCTTCTAAGCTTGAGGTAAGGATTCTTCATACTTTCTATAAGTTTTAACTTAGTTATTTACTATTTCTAAACAACACAGTGATTTTGGAAATTTTTGAAACAAATCTAGGGTTTTGGGTTAAAAATCTAAAGAGGGGTTTTTAAATAGATTCTTGGAAATGATTGTGGTGTTGAAAATAAAGTTGAGTTGTGATGAAGTGGTTGATTTGATACTTGGGATTGATTTTGGAAGAAAAAGGAATTCTACCTAAATGTCTCAAATGTTGATTTTATATAAATAATGAATTGATGTTAGAAATATGGAATTGGGTTGATATTGATGAAGATGGTGGAGTTGGATATGTATTATCACTCATATCTTGAAACTTGGAAAGCTTATTTTTATTGGAAATTGTTTATCTATTTTGGGCCATCGGTGGAATATAACTATGATTGTTGTAGAAATTGTATGAGAATTAGAAGAATTGAAACTATTGTCTCATCCATTTGCATCGAGTATTATTTCATATTTATACATTGAAAATGTTTATCGTTTTGAGAAAGTTGAGTGAATTTGGGAAGTATGTATTGCCTTATTGAATTAAGCTGGCCTGAGTATCCATGGTGATAGTCCTAAAAACCGCTCGTATACATGGGTGCTTATCCCGCGGATGAGGTTTCTGTGAAATGACAATAGTAGTGCTTGTGTAGCCTACGTTTACATAGGTGTCGGTTTACGATTTTCCACTGATGAAATTTTCGTGAAAGGTTGTATTTGTGTTGAGATTTCCAGAATGTGATTCACTGCCCTGTTTTCTATTGTAAAGGAAATTATTTATGAATTTTGGTATTAACCTAGCATTGCATAGTTTTTGGAAGGAGATATAAAAATGTTTTGGCACGAGCATTGCATGTGCATTCACTTTATATCTTTGTTAAAATTCATATACTATGTTGGATTATTTCTACTGGGCTTTGCACTATTTCATTTTGTGTATTTATTGTATTTAATTTTGTACAAGCCAAGGACTTTAACTGTATTGGATTCAAATCCATTTTTGTTGTAACCAAGTATTGACTTAGAAAGTTGTAAGCCCTTAGGGCATTTCTTATTTGTTTAACTTCCATCATATTTCTTTATTATGTAACACATGCTACAGATTTAGGTTTAGAGCTTGTGAATGAGTAAATGCATGTGTTATCTTTTGTATAATTCAAATCATATATGAAGGGAAAGAATATTCATTTTGGAAACGCGCCATCTTATTTGATTATACGTCATGAGTTATCGTTTTATTTTCGGAGTGTTACAAGCCATTACATTCAACCCTTAAACAAATAAATCATTACCACTTCATTTAAAAAAATAAAAAAAAGGCATTACATTCATTACCACTTCAACAAAATGGTAGTGGTCCGCCATACATTACATACACATTCAACCTACAACACAAGTCATACTCATTCTACCCTACATTACATACACTATTTCAATACACTAGAATGACAACTACCACCAACAACAGAACACTAAAAGTAAAGGCGTAATTCAATTTATCACCAACTCTTTCAATCACCATTGCCAAGTCTCTATATTTTTTCTTAATCTTCACAGTCATGTCTTTGAGCTCTCTATTCAAGATAATTACTTCACTAAGAGTAAACAAGACATCCATTCATTCTTCAAGAATATCATTCTCGACCACCTTCAAATTAAGCTGCATATGTAAAAGGATCCACCACTCAAAGAACTTACAACCATTTGGTTAATAGAGGCATACAAAATATAAGCAATTTGGGTTATTTGTTGACTGAGAAATCTTAACCATAGTTTTGCTGCCACATCGACAATTGCAGTTGTCGAATCTAACTTCATTAATGCTGCCCATACTTGAATTTGACGTTGACATTGACATTGACATTGACCTACAAAAGAAATATCAAAGAGCAAAACTCATTTATAATATCAACCAACCTCCAAGATTTAACAAAGAGTAAAGAGAAGCAAAAAGCATCAGCAAAATTCAGCAGCAAGTTTACATACAATTATCTCTTATGCTTGAAATTTGAGATGTCCTTACATCTCAAATTTAGCAATGTCCTTATTACTCACTCTCCACCCCCTCTCAATTAATAAATCCACAATCTCCAATTTATCTTCATCCAATGGATTAAGAGAGCAAAAAGCATTCAGCAATCTCCAATTTATGTACAATCTCTAATTTATTCAACAATCTCCAATTTGTTGCCTACCCATAGTCTTGCATGTAAGCAGGGTTGGTGAGATGAGATTAAGACTTGAATACGTTTTTTAATGCAATATGAGTTGAACTTCTCATCTAGAAAATCAAATTAACTAGATTACTAACAAGGATGAGTCACTGTATTCATCAACAATACACCAACAATAACAATATATATACTTTCCTGAAACTACAACACAAATCTAACTTGAAATTATAAATTCATGAACAATATGGAACTATGAACACCATTTATATATTCAATGCAGAACCACTATTATGAACCTTAATTTTTTAAAACCCCAAATCAAAGCCCTAATTTTTTTAATTTCAAATCTAGTTTACTTTCTCAATCAAAACCCTAACTTTATAATCTAGATTTAAAATTAGATTTCAAAATTTGGAAGAGGAACCTATCTAGATTTTAGAGTTTGGAGGAGGAACCTGATTTGATAACGATGAATGAAGACCGACAATCTAAAAAAAGGGATTTCTTTGCTCCGGCGAACAACAATGGTTGATGGACAGTAGTCGCTAGTGAAGAATGGTGGATGGTGGTCGCTGGTGAAGAATGGTGGACGGTAGTCGTCGATGGAGAATGACGATGGTGACCCAATATATGCATCTCCTCTTCCTCTCTCTCTCTCTCCCTCCTCTCTCTTTCTCTCTCTCTCTCTTTTTGTTGTTGTCTTTTTCACATGGAAACCTCTGTTTTGCTGTGCTGAATGAAATTTAATTTTTTTTATAGCTAATCTAAGTCGTAGATTTTGTTAGGAGTGACGTGGCCCAATCTTAGCCATCCACCAGAGGGAGGGCTGGGGAGGATCTCAACTCGTTGTGGGCTATCTCATATATTGACCCTGTTTGACAAGTGAGTTCTGGGCTATTTTTTTGGTTAAAACCACACACAAAAAAAAAGACTAAAATAATTAATAAGATAAAATGTCACATTAAATCTATAATCATTTCACTTTTTTCTCTCATAAACATCATATCCAACTACAAAAAAAATCAAATCCTCTTTCCAAACATAAAAATTTTAGCCTACTAAAATAGCCAAATACTAAAATAGCCTACTGAAATAGCAACTTCCCAAACACCTACATTGTGTATCCGACAGGTATAAATTAGATACACAGTAAGTGTGATATCCCAGTAATTAGTGGGTATTTTTGAAACATGGCTACGTGATGTTTTAGAAGTGTTTTGATTGGTAAATAATATAATTTTGTGTTAAGTGATTGGAGATCATGAAAAGGGTATAGTGTGTGATGATTAGTGAAAAATATGAACACGTGACGCTTCAAAAATATCCAATAATTTTTTATGATATACACAGTGAGTGTGATACGATACAAAAGGAAATCACAAAACAACGTGGATTTGTGAGTGTATCTGTGTATATTTCTTTGTGGGGATGTGACGTTGAGAACAATAATATTGTGAGGGTGTGGAAAAAATATCAAGGAATTCTATTTATCTCACTATTGTAATTTTTCTATTTGAGAGTGAATTGCTTCTCACCCAGCGTGAACGTAGGCATTTGAGTTGTACCACGTAAAATCTTGTGTTTTCTATTTTTCTTGTGATCGTTTTATTTATTTATTTTATTTTTATTTGCTTCTATTGCTTGGGTGGGATTTATTCCCAATAGACTGAAGGTCCGCAATGACTGCCCATCGGTCGGAGTTGTCGGAGATGATAGGAGCTCGCCATCCACTAGCAGCAAGGGTGGCAACAGCCAATGGCGGAGTCATAAATTTAATATAGGAGGGTACCTATTAATTATAATCTCAAAATTTTTCTTCCTCAATCAATAACAACAACATAATAATAATTTTTCAAGCTAATATTAAACATTTAAAATTAATATTCATTGCAAAAAGTTTTAATTTTAAACTTTTACAATTGACCCTGACGAGTTTTCATCTTTTGAAATCTTTCCATGATAGTATCATTGTCAATGCTATCAAAAATCTCTCTCTCAATGTAGACAACCAAGGCTACCATTTATCCACTCATCACCTATTCGGTTCTGCAACCGATTCTTCACAATATTCATAGCTAAAAATACTCTCTCTACAATAGCAGTTGCAACATGCAAGATTAATGCTAAAGTCAAGAGCAAATACGCTAATGGATATATTTTGTCTCTTCCAGTCTCCACCATTTTCTTAGCAAGATCAGCAATTTCATTCAACCTTGATAACTCACTACTAGGTAGCATGTCGATAATATATATATCAAGTTGATCATTAAGTACTTTGAGCTCCACTGAAGAAAATTCTTTGCGATAAAATTCGGCAAGATGAATTAACTTTTTCTTGTAAAAACTAGAGAAAGGATTAGATGGATTTAAACATGGCACACAAAGTAACAACTTAGTGTTCGACTCAGTGAAACGAGCATTTAGTTCTTGAGTTTGCATATCTAAAGCAATGTAGAATAACTCAGCGCGATAGTGATGTAAGTTTGTAATTTCTTGAGCATTGTGCCTTTTTCTCCCTCGAGCTATAAACATATCATCCATTTGGGGAACATCAATTTCATGTTTTTCACAAAAACACAAAATATCATCAAGTAAAGATGTCCACCCACTCTTCCTCATCTTTTGGAGCCGTACTTTAGAAATTTGAACTAAATTCATGGCATTAACAATATTTTGATCTTTCCTTTGTAGTGCTTGCGATAACTCACTTGTAATAGCTAATATCGTTTTCACCAAATGAAGGTTGAATACAAACTCAAATGATTGAATTGAGTCCAACAATACATTTGCTTCTACTCGTTGTTCTGAATTTGAACCATTCTCCAAAATCATTTCAAGCACATTAATCACTGTTCAAAACATACCAGTTAAGTTGACTAAAGTACCATAGTGTGAACCCTAATGTGTATCACCAACACGTTTAAGATTAATTTCTTGATTTAAGCCTTGCCCATTAGATAGCTCTCTAGTATTAAGTGCCTCAGCAACTTTTGCAGCTTGCTTCTCCCTAACAATATCTCAGCGTTTGCATGATGCTCTAACAATATTCATCACATTAGAAACCAAAGTGAAAAGTAAAGCAATTTGACCATGATTCTTTGCCACGGCTACAAGTGCTAATTGCAATTGATGAGCAAAACAATGAACATAATATGCACAAGAATTCTCTTTCAATATAAGTGTTTTAAGACCATTAAACTCACCTTGCATATTACTAGTCCCATCATATCCTTGACCCCAAAATCTGGAAATACTCAATCAAAGTCTGGAGAACAAATTTTCCACAGCTTGTTTGAGTGAGAGAGCATTCGTATTAACAACATGCTCAATACCCAAAAAGCACTCAATCACTTGGCCTTTTTTGTCAACATATCGTATTACAATTGCCATTTGCTCCTTGATTGATATGTCACGGGGCTTCATCAATCAAAATAGAAAAAAGTGCATTACCAAGATCTCTAATAATCACATTGATAGCTTCAAATGCGGCTACATTTACAATATCTTTTTGAATATCAGGAGATGTCAACTTGAGATTTTGTGGAGCATTGCTAAATGCAACCACTATGACATCTTCATTATGATTAGCAAGAAAATTGATAAGTTCAAGAAAATTTCCTTGGTTACTTGAATTTTCAAATTCATCATACCCACGAAACGTAAGTCCTTGTCTTAGAAGAAATTTGACACAATTAACCGATGCATTCAAACGAGTTCGATACTCAATTCGAGCTTGATCAGATTGCTTGAAAAAAATTGTTTGAATATGTTGATTTTGGTTTAACAAGTCTTGACATTTACTTGAAGCTTGATTATGAGCACTATTGAGACCTCCAACATGAGCCTGAATTTTTTCTTTTTTCTTCCTATTTGAGAAACCCTCACCAACAAAAGAATCACTACCAGCTTGATTTCCAATATCGAGTTTGAATAGATAACAACATAAACAAAATGCTGCATCTTTTGCTACAATATACTCCAACCAATTTGGGAATTCACTAAACCAAGCCTGATTAAATCACCGAAGTTTTTGTCCAAATAATTTTTGTGAAAAATTATGATCACGAGGTTGATAAAGACTTTTTTGTAGATATGCCCTACAAATTTGGTCTCGATCATTAGCATTATAGTCCATAATCTGAGGCCATAGTCTTGGATCTGCAGGAAGGTCTACAAAATTGATTTCTATGCGACCTTTTTTTGCGGAAGAATAATTATAATCTTCTTCTTGAGAAAGAGATGATTCCAACTTTGATTTTCTTTTGAAATATTTCTCCATGACTATTTTAAAAAATAAAAATCAAAATAAAAATTCATAATCAAAATCACAGACCCCCCACAAATCAAAATCTCCAATTTTAATACAAATCAAAAATTGTAATTTAGCACAAATCACAACAAATAAAATTTCTAATATACCTATATTATAACAAATAAAAGTCCCTAATTTAAATAACAAATACTACAAATTAATATTTTTAATTGTAGCACAAATCAAATTTCTAATTTTAGCACAAACAACAACAAACCAAAATCCCTAATTTTAATATAAATCATCACCAATAAAGATTCATAATTTTAGCATATCAAAATCTTTTATTTAACATAAATAATAACAAATAATTTTTTTTACAAATCAAAACTTAACAAATAACTATAAATTAATACTCATAATTTTTATTTAAAAATAAAAAAATCATAAATAAAGTTAATTGTAAACAATGAAGAGAAGATACCAAGGTTGTAGTGTGATATCAAATTTGTGTTGTGTGATCCTAATCCGATGAATCGCAAGTTGATAAATTACAAAGCAACAAAGAGAGATAAAGAAAAAAATATATATATAGCGACACTTAACGAGTACTCTAAATAAATAAAAAAATAAAAAATTCTATACAACTTTAGAGTTTTAGGATTTCAGCCTTGCTGTCGTTTTCCCTTGAATAAAAAAAAAAAAAAAGTAATTGGATTGGAGTTGTGTCAGTGTGTTTGGTGCGTGTGTTAGTGTGTTTGGAAATTAGGTGCGTGTGTTAGTGTTTTTGGGTCAAATTGGGCTGCTGTGTATATAGGCATTGCGTGTAAGCCACAAACAATCCTCAAAAAAAAAAATTTGAAATGTGAAGAGGGCACGTGATCCCCTTAGCCCCGATGTCCTTTCGCCTCGGTAGTAGATGGTGGCCCAAGGTGATGGGTGAGAGGAGAAAGTGAAACTTATTTAAAAAATAAGTGAAAACAACTTTTTTGTGTTTTGAAAACTTTGAAATCAATTTCATTTTTTAAAAACAAATATAATATACTAAACAAGTTTTCATTTTCAATTTTCTAAAAAAATGAAAACAAAAACTGAAAATATAAAATAAAAACGTTAACAAACAAAACCTTAACTACGCATATAGGCACTGTGTGTAAGCCACAAACAATCCTCAAAAAAAAAAAAAAAAAATTGAAAAGTCAAGAAGGCACGTGATCCCCTTGGCCCCTATGTCCTTTCGCCTCGGCAGTAGATGGTGGCCCAAGGTGATGGGTGAGAGGAGAAAGTGAAACTTATTTAAAAAACAAGTGAAAACAACTTTTTTGTGTTTTGAAAACTTTGAAATCAATTTCATTTTTTAAAAACAAATATAATTATACCAAACAAGTTTTCATTTTCAATTTTCTAAAAAAATGAAAACAAAAACTGAAAATATAAAATAAAAACGTTAACAAACAAAACCTTAACTACTCAAGCCATTAAACGAAATCCACAAATATCAAATATTTGAAGAAGGCCGATCTCAACACCGGAGTTTGAGTTTCAAGATCCTCTTCCCCTATCTCCTCCCTCCACCTCCCCTGATAATTTTTATTTTTATTTTTAAAAAGCCTCACAAATAAAGATCATTTATCAGCAAAGTTGATAAAAGCTATGTTCAAAGTTGTACATGGCTCTTAGATCAACAAAATTTGTTATGGGCCATTTGTCGATGCTTTTCCCATTGTTTGAAGTGGTCTAGGATAAAGCAATGGGTGTCGGACCTGAAAGTCTTAAGGCCTCTTATGCCAATGCGGATGAGACTTACGAGATTATCGGTGGGCCCTCCACTCCACATGGCCCATTATGACTTATTGTACAAATTGTTGATTATGGCCCAACCAAAGGAGCAATGGTGGCTCTTGGATTATGGACCAAACCCTATGGCTAAAAGTGAACCATCAACAAATGGCCTATAAAATGAATAATTTGAATCATCAGAATAGAATTCGTAGTAAGTGTACAAATTCAAAGTGCATTGTCCGGTTCAATTTAATATATCAAAGACAAAGTTCAATGGAAAAAAAAAAATTCAAAAACAAAAATGCAACACATGTATTATAAACTTTGAAACATCAAATGGTGAAGACATTTCAAAACCTTGTGTGTGAATTTGAAATGAAATAACTTAGAATGATGGAAAATTATTTTTGAAAAAATTTATCAACGAAGGCTGTGTTTAAATCTTTAATTTTCGAAGAGAAAAAAGCGTTAGATTTAATAATTTTTCATGCTCCTAACATGAACTAGTAAAAAAATGTATTATATAAGTATTGTGACATAGTTTTATAGGCTTAGAATTTTAACTGTTTATAATTACTTTTGATCTCTCTTTAGCCTTAATTCAAAATCTTGTAGTAACATTCTTTTCAACGATCACTAGAACAATGTTTCTTTTGCTGTTTGGTTGTTTTAGAAATTAGAAATTTGAAAACCAACCGTTAACATAAAATTAAGTTTACTTTTAACTCGGGATGAGATGAGTATGAATTTTATTTATTTATGTGGTGTTTAAAGCACAAAACTTTATTCCAATTCCATAAACATATGGGCCACTTGTGATTTTGAGGCAAAAGGAATCAAATGAATCCGCTTTTTCCCTCCATAAGTGCCACCCATTAAAGTGTAATTACTGTGTACATTGTTGTTGGTGCCAAGCTCTTAGCCCCAAATATCCACATTAGTTTTGTAATGAGTTTTTTTTTTCTCCTTCTTTCAATTTATTATAACAATGGCCGGCAATGACTCTGTTTGGTAAGACTATGTTTGGTAAGACTTATTTTTAATTTATCTCAATTTTTAACTTAATTTAACTTTTAGTTTAATTTAAGCTATTTTGATGTATTTAGTTCAGCTTAACAATATAGCTTATAGCTTTTCATAAGTCAAAAATTAACTTATTCTTTGAGCGGGGGATGAGAAGCTTAATTTATAAGTCAAAAATTAGTTTATGTTCAAAGTTATAAGCTATAAGCTGTTAAATTATAAGGTATAATCACTTTTTCACAACTCTATCTAACGGGGCCAATATAACGAAGTAAAATAATTCAACAATTATTTGCATAAAACACAATTACCAAAAAAAAAAAAATGAAGTTGGAAAGATACAAAATAAATATATGAGAAATAAAACTCATAAATAATTGAATTCATTCATATTTTACTTATATTTTTCTTTTTCTTTTCAAATTTTTATTCAAACTCATGAATCAAACACAATTTTAGTGATGAAAAATTATTTGGTTATCCTAGGGGCATGGCTAGGTGGTGCCCAAAAATATTGTGATTGGTGGAGGGGAGCCTCATGATTTGGTGGTAGGCGATGAGGAAACAACATGGGACACGAGATTTGATAATTGGTAGGAGCATTGTCGCGTGATGTTCAAAGATTTCTTTTCCTCCATACTTTTTGTATTTTTTTTTTTGCTATAAAAAGTTAAAAAATCCTTCAAAATATACTAATTTTTTTCACCTCCTATTTTAATCTAGAAGTCAAAAAATTACAAAATAGCCTATTCTCAAACCAAGAATGCGAAAAGAAGAAGAAGATGATAATCATTTTATTTTATTACAATGTATCTCAACACAAAAAGTAATCAATAATTATTCCATAAAAAGAAATTAATAATGATATATAAACATAAATTTCATATAAACTTTTTTTTTATTAGTGGTTGGTTCATTTTAAATTAAAATGCAGAGTTGTTTTGGGAAGATGGTTAAAAATTATCTTTTTGGCTTTTTTATTTTTATTTTTTATTTTTGAAAAAATATGTAAAAAATGTAAGAGATGCTGTGACCCAAAATGAGTTAAAAGCTTAAAGATAACTTTTAACCATCTTTCCAAAATATCGCTAAGTCATAATTTAAAAAACACTACTCATAATTATGAATGAGTTTTTTTGTAATGAAATCATTTATGAACAGAATTGCTTGTAAACTTTCAAAGTGGAAGGAATACCAAATAATAAATAAAATAAATACAAGAGGAATAAGATGCAATTAGAGAGTTAAATTCTTAATCGTTGATACAAGAATTCTAACTAACCCACTAACTTGTAAAATTAATTTTGTAATAGGAGTACGTGGGGTAGTTATTAAATAATAATTAAAATTGAGTTTTGCTAACAAGTGCTTTTAGATCACTCAAAAAATTAGACATAAATAGCAAAATATACAAGACATTTTTATTGAAATCAAAAAAGTTTTTTTTAGTAAGTTAAAAAAATTTGACTTATTTTTTAAAATATTTTTTTTAGCTCAATTTCGATATTAAAATTACTTATTAGCATTTATCTTTAAAATCATGTGAGAATTAGTACAAGAAGTTGCTACCTATTCATTTTGACAGTTTTTTTAGTCAGAAGACTCTCAAAAGTGGCTCTGGCCAATTAATGAGGATTTTCCCTTAATAATTGGACACGAATGATTAATGAGAAAGTGATAGCTTTAATAGTATTTGTTGACTATTCATATTTGAGAGATGTGGACCATATCAAATTTGATTAATATTATCATTGAAATTTACATTTGATTAAGAAAGCTTGATCAAACTGGTTGACCACGATATGAATCCTTATCTCAAGCAATCCCATTTCCCAATTTTATTTATTTATTTATTTTTCTGTTTTTTGTTTTGTTTTTGTTTTTGGGCTGGGATGTCAAGTGCAAGAAGTTCATTGGAAAATCATAAGTCATGCGTTCAAAAAGGGATCAAGCAACTAAGATTACAAATAAGTCGAGTTAAATTGAGTTTTAGTATGTTTGAACTTATTTATTAATATTTTAACGAATTTGAGCTTAAACTTGAATTTAATAAAAATTTAACGAACTGAACTCGACCCGAGTTGGCTTAGGCTTGATTCGAGCTCGAGCTCGTTTATGAGCCTTAACGAGCTAAAAAAATTATAAATTCATATTTTCGTATGAGATTAAAGTTATAATTAAAACTTTAATTATACAATATATATATTTATATATATATATATATAAACATTCTAAAAAAAAAGTCAATATTTTATCAAAGTAATAATATCTACTACCACTATTATATAAAATGTACTATCTAGTCTATAGTTAATTATGATTTACATTTATATTTTTTAAATATATAAATAACATATTTTTCTTATTTTTTATACATATTTTTACATTATTTAATATATAACTAATAAATATTAAACGAGACAGCTAACGAGCCAAGCTTTAAATGTTTGGGCTTATTTATTAAAAATTTAACAAGATTGAGCTCAAACTTGAACGCAAAAAAAAATTAACGAACTGACTTCGAATAAGCTCTTACCGAACCGAGTTCGAGTCTGTTTACGAATGACTCTATTTATTTGCAGTCCTACAAGCAACTATATTACTAAGGTGAATTCTTATAGTTTGGGTCTTATGTTATTTTGATTCCTGATTTTTCAATTGTGACACATTTGACTCAGAATTTTGAATCTTATTCCAAATAAGGACAATTAAAGATACCATTGCTTAATTTTAAGGGAAAAATCATCAATTTGATAAAATATAAACTAATTTAACAAAAATAAATGTCAAAAAAAATATTTTTGAGTTTTTCAAAATTATTTCTACCCACTAAAGATAAAATTATGTAAAATTAATTTAGACATTTATTTATTTATTTTAACCAAATTAATTTTTATTATATGTTTGGATGATAATCATGGAATGGATGGTTGTTTTTATTTTCATTAAATTAGTTTATATTTTTCTAAAAGTCAAATATGGCGACAATTTTAATATAATTATTAAACCAATTTATTAAATCAAAAAATCCAAAATTAAAAACATTTTATATATTAAATATATCTATTACACATTAAAAGTTCAACAACCCATTACATGATTATCATTTAAACACATAACAAAAATTAATTTGGTAAAAAAATAAATAAATAAATATCTAAAAGATTTATTAATTTTACATAATTTTATCTATGGTGGGTAGAAATTATTTTTAACAATTCAAAAATATTTTTTGACATTTATTTTTGTCAAATTAGTTTATATTTTATTAAATTAACAACTTTACTCTTGAAATTGCGTAATAATTTCTTTAATTGTTCTTATTTGAAACAATATTTAAAATTTAAAATCAAATATGTCATAATTAAAAAATTAATGACTAAAATGACATGAGTCTCAAATTATAGAGACGATTAGTATAATTCATTCATATTATTAGCAAAAAAAATAAAAATCAAAACAAAAATGAAGACAAAAAAGGGTCAATTGTACCTTCAAAGACAACCGACTTCAATTTTCCCTATTTTGCATGCCATTCATTAGATCATAAATTAGCCACGTGATAAATCTAACTGAATAAAATTGTAAAATAAAATAAGTATCTTTTTTTGCTGCGAATTGGAGAGACATAATTTTGTTTTAAAAAAATTACTAGGTGTCAAAGGAATAAAGTTGATCGAGTTGGGTCAGATTCAAATCGGAAAATGACAATACTTTGAGAATTGCGTTGAGGCTTTGGATTACATACTTAGTGGGTCAAATCTACGTTATATGGGTGGGTAGGTGGTCATTCACGAGAAGGATGGTAATTTGAGCTTGTCTTGACGGGGAGTCTTTCAATGTTGATTAGAGCAATATTTTTTTCAAAAATACTCTTGATAGGTTGAGAATGATATTCGAAAATGAATCTCTGATAATTTTCAGGTCAAAGACGGTGATACATTTTCCAATCCCGATCCTGAGGAAAATTACTATTATACCCTTCTCTATATATATGTGTGTTTCTATTTTTTTACTCAATTTAGGGTTAGGTTCGCACTCATACAAACACATCGCCTCTCTCTGCTCTGGTTGTTGTTCCCTCATCGCTCGCTCGCTCCTTCCTCACCGTCGACGTTGCTCCTCCCTCACCGGCATCTCATTTCTCCTTCATCGACGTCTTCCTTCTCCTTCACCGGCTCTCCATTTCTCAAACCGTTGTATGAGTACGAAGACGAACCAAAGTTCGCACTTATTTTCACTCCCCAATTAACTCTCTCTCTGGTATGATTTGTCTCTCTCCTCTGTCAGCTCTTCGATTTGCCCCTCATTTTCACCATTTTCAGCTCATCGATTTTTGCTATTTTCTAAATCTTTCATCTCTATTTGGTAAAACCCTAGCTCTTGATTTTTTTTTTTTGGTGTACAAATCTTATTTTAAATAGAGGATATTTGCTCTGTATGTGCTCTGTATGTGTGTATGTATCTATATGTATGTGCTCTGTCGCTTGATTCTCCTCTGAGTTTTGCTTTGTTTCTCATTGTGTGATCTCCGATCTTCTAGGTATTTTTCGTTTCCAGGTCTCTCTCTATTTGATATATATATATATATACACACACATAAATTTGTATGTGTGTTTATAAAGTTTGTTGGATTGGATTGAATTGTTGATTATATTTTGTTAGGGACGTGCATGATCTGTTCGGGGATTTTTAGAGGTCAGGGAAGCCCAATTCCCGTTGGAGGGCGGGGGTAGGGGTGATGGGTTCTCGCAAGAGATCAGGGGCGGGGACAAAGAATTTAGCACCTTCAAGTATCAAGGACAGGAAGTGTAATAACCCCGCCCTATCAATTCTTATTCACTAGGACTATTTAAAGTGGCTTTGTTCTCTCAAGTTGTGTGTGACAGATTGTTAATTAGTCATTCAAGGCTGGATTCTACGATAGATAGTCATTATGTTTCTATCGTCAATAGCTTGTAATTGCCAGTTACTTGACAAGAGTTGAATTGCTATTTGAAGAAGAAAAATGCTTGGGAGCACTAAAAAGGGATCACTAGAGGGAACACTAATGATGTGATAATGGGCCCCGCTCACTTTCTATGTCTTGTTTTTATTTTTTTATTATTTTTTTGCCATTCCCAATATATTAGTGCTATTAGTGATACATTTTTTAGTGGTCTAAATCATTGTTGATTTGAAAAATGTTTTGGAGCTCTAATTTTTGAGCTCTAAAGGTAGCTCTAATGAGTTGGCAATGGACTCCACCCACACTGATGTGATGTTTTGATCTTGATTTGTTTTTATTTTATTTTTTTAGTTCATTGTCATGTCATTAGTGCTCCATTAAAGCATAAAAATTAATGATCTAAATCATTACTGTTGCTATTTTATAGATAAAATAGTAATTAAAAACACAATTTTATAAGATTTAGATAAATGATAACTGTTAAAACAAATCATTGATTTTAATTAAAACAAAATTATAAGAAAGTAGCAAGGAACCAAAACAAAGTATTCAACTCTTTATAACCCTGATTCTTGAAATTATTTTTCATATTCCATAATACTTAAATTTTATTTTCAAGTAATATCCATCCCTCCTATCCAAAAATAAAACAATTTTCAATTTTTATATAGAAGTCAATAGGTATAAATACATGGGGCCCACAAATTTCCAAATCCATCATCAGTTTACATAAAGAAGAGGACCCCCTCCTTAACTCCACATTTGACCGTCTACCCCCCTACCTCTCTCTTCTCATACTCTCTCTTCATGTATCATTGAGCAACCCATCTGAGCTAAAACCAGAAATCTCCAACCATTTTTCAGCTCAAAAACCACTCTCACATCTCTCTCTCTCTCTCTCTCTCCAATGGCCAAAACCAAAACCCCAGCAAAACCCATCAAGAAAAACCAGCCCCACAATGCCCCAAAATCACAGAAACCACCATCTTGGTCAGTTGTGAGAAGCCTCCTCACCTGCAAACACCTCCAGACCCAACCACAGGAAAAAGAAAAGCAAGAAAAACAACAGAAGCAGCAGAAACAAGAACGACCCACAGAGGAAAGCAGCAAGAAATGCAAGAAAATGAAGTGTTCAGGCTCACTCTGCAGCAACACAAAGGTGATGCACAGGCCTGAACCACCATCATCATCAACCTCAGAAGACAACAACAAAAACAGAGCATCAATGGGTGGTTCAAATTCAATTAACAACCATACTGGTTCTTCTAGCAGATCCATGAAAGCTCCTCTGAGTGAACTAAATGGGGCTTCATTTTCAGCGTCTTCTAACTCTTCTTCTTCTGCTTCCACTGTTGTTGGGTCATTTAGAGGCATTCCTTTTAGGAGACTCTCTGGTTGCTATGAATGTAGAATGGTGGTTGACCCTGTTCTTGGGTTCACTAGAGACCCTTCTCTCAGAGCCTCTATTTGTTCTTGTCCTGACTGTGGTGAGATCTTCATGAAACCTGAGAGTTTGGAGCTTCATCAGGGTGTTAGACATGCAGGTAATAAACTATGTCCTTCTCAGTCATCTACTACTCTGTTTTCTCTAATTTTGAAGTGTTCCATTTTTTGGGTTTCAATAGCTATTTGTTTCTGATCCATGTCTCAGTGTGACTCTTCCTAGTTCATTACCCATAACCCATTGCTGGATCTGATCACACTGTCTCTCACTTACTTCAATGACAATACCTTTCACTAATATATTAACAAAACTCCCAATCTAGCTGTCTTTTTATTTCATTAAATACAATAATGTTGAAATGTACCATAAATGTGTAGGGTACTGCTACTGACCATAAATGTTCAAATGAAATTAAATTGGAATACAGAAATAGAGAAAATTAGAGTTGAGGATCCAATGCTAATGCTGTGTTTGGTTGGGGTTTTTGGGGTGGGATTTGGAAAAGGAATGAGAAATGTAATCCTATTTATGTTTGGTTATAATAAAAAATATATGGGAAAAGAAAGGGGGTGAGAAATAAATAAAGAAATTGGAGACCTTTTAGGACATCAATTCTATTTTATAACCAACACAACCAAACATAGTTGGGATTTGGAATTCTATTAATTCTTTCTCCTTTTCCTTTCATTTCCATTTCCCTTTCCATTTCCCTTCCCAAATCCCTCAACCAAACACAGCGTAAATGGGGTTTTAAAGGAGAAATTGTATTAAGGCATCAAATCCTCTATCCCAAATTTCTGTTTTCTTATTCTAAAATATTAACAATTATTAAACTACCTATTGAGATTTTCACCATTTAAATTTTTTATATAATTTAATAATTATAAATATTTAAAGACAAAATTATATAAAAATTTGAAAACAGATCTAGGCCATGGGACAGTGGACTCTCCCCCACCTCTTTCTGGTTTCAATACCCCTGGCCCAAGTATAACTCTCCATCTCATTTCAATGCCATCATCACCCAACACCCATTAATGAGGCTTCCCTGTATGGTGTGCTTGCCCAATACAAAAGGTTATCTATTTATATAGCTTAAAAAATTAAGAATAATTTAGAAAAATCACAAAAAATATTATTAATCGAGTGCACAGTTACATGCAATTTTAGAAAGGCTAGATAATTTTTACTTTCACATATTTTTTTAATATATATTTATTTACTCATTAATGTGACAATACATTATTAAGGTAGATTTTATTTCAGATTTCAAAATTCTTTTATTACATAATACATAGGTAGTAACAATATATATATATACATATATATATAAAAGAATACAAAACCCGACCCAACTCTCTCACACAAGCTCTCTATCACACCCAACCCCTATAAATGGATTGTATCTAATTTTGTAACACTAATACTATAAAATCAAATTATCATTTATTTATTTTTTTGCCATACGATAAGATGATAAAAGATTAATAAATTAAATTACAACCAAAAGGTTACGAATCGACTCGAATCTTAAATATCTGACCTTCTCAGAATCTTAAGAAGAGACAGTTATATGGATCACTGGATCAATTATCTTGTCTTTACAAACTCATATTTAACTACTCAAAAATTACTAACAATTGTCATGTTATGATTTGACTTTATTGCATATGAATTTCATATTATACAAATCTTAAGTAAAATCGAGTGGGGTTGGTAGCATTTTTCATTTCGTAATTAAATTTTATGAAATTTGTTAATGTATATAATATTTGTATGCATTATCATTCTAACTCCATTTTTGTCTCCACCTCTTGTATTATACACCAAAACTCACATGACAACAGTGTCCGAATTGGGTCCAGAAGACACAAGCAAGAACATAGTAGAGATCATATTCCAATCAAGCTGGCTCCGAAAACAATCCTCCTCCTCATCATCCCCAATCTGCAAAATCGATCGAATTCTCAAAGTCCGAAACACCCCCAAAACCCTATCGAACTTCCAACAATACAGAGACACCATCAAATCAAAATCCACCAAGCTCCCCAAAAAGCACCCGTGCTGCATCGCCGACGGCAACGAGCTCCTCCGCTTCCACTCCACCACCTTCGTCTGCTCTCTCGGTCTCAACTCCTCTTCCAATCTCTGCAATTCCATCCCCAATTGCAGTGTCTGCAGCATCATCAAAAATGGGTTCAAGCTTCCCAATGACGCCGGAAAAGGGATTCTCACGACGGCCACGAGCGGGAAGGCGCATGATAGTGCGGCGGCGGCGGAGGAGGACGGTGGTGGTGATAGGAGGGCGATGTTGGTTTGCAGGGTGATTGCGGGAACAGTGAGGAAGAATGGAGAGGGTGGTGGTGGTGATGGGGAGGTGGTGGAGGAGTATGATTCGGTGGCTGGAGCTGCCGGAGTTTATTCCAATTTGGATGAGTTGTATGTGTTTAATCCTAGGGCTATATTGCCTTGTTTTGTTGTTATATATCGGGGATTTTAATTGAACACCTTTAAATTGTTAAAATAAAAAAAAGGAGTTTAATTCCCAAATCCAAAAAAAAAATAAATAAATAAAAAAAAATAAAATTAAGAGTAATAAAATACAAAAAAAAGTTTTGAAAATGTTGCCTTGTTTGGTTGTTTTATTTATTTATTTATTTTTGGATTTAAAATTATTTTCAAAAATTTTAAAAAATCTTTTACATATTTCCTAAAAGTGGGTGTTTTAAAAAACGAGGGTAAATTACAAACACTCCCTCGAGATTTGGTAAAAATACAGATTCTCCATGAGGTTTAAAAAATTACAAATTGCCCTATAAAGGTTAAATTTACATAAAAAATTAGGGAGGAATCTGTATGAAAATAAAAATTTCAGGAGACAATTTGTTATGGAAATATAAACCTCAGGGGGCGGGATGTAATTTCTCAAATATCAGGGCGGAATCTATATTTTCACCAAATCTCGAGAGGGGTATTTGTAATTTACCCTAAAAAGAAAAATCAAAATAGTTTTCAAAAAAGTATTCACAATTTTATTTTGTTTTTTAATAATTTTTTAAAAATAAATAGGACGAGAAATTACATTCGTAGTGGTTAGACTGTAACTAGAAAACACATCTAGCAAATGAGTATTTTATTAATAATAATGATGGAGATCATTAATTATGAAATTCTAAAAAGATTACTAATGACATAACATTTAATAAAAAAAAAAAAATACAATACCAAGGCCAAAATATCAAATCATTCATGGTGGGATTCACTGTCACATCATTAGTGGTAGCACTAATTAGTACTCTCACTGATTTTCCTTTTATTAACCAGACCAACTTTACTTTCTAGTCTTAAAATGCACAGGTTATCGATAGTAAATGGCTTCAACATGACTTCAACATGGCTTTGTTTGGGGTATTTTAAAAAAGTTAAAAAGTCAAAAAGTTATTATTCTATTTAAATCACATCATCTTATTTAAGTCACATCACTTCTTTATCACATCATTTCAAACTCAATTCATATCTAACTCATATTTCATAAAAAATTAAAAAATATATTTATTTAAAACATTCTAAACAATCGATTAAAAAACAGTTTCAAAGCGAAGATTTGGGTCCAAGACTGGGGATTTGTAGCCAATTAGGATTTGTCCTTCTAATTCTTATTTTATTTTCAAAAGTTTGAATTTTTTTGAGGGAAAATCCTAAATTATATTGAATCGGGAGCCAGAGCTAATAATACATTTTTAATTAAGTAATGTTAGAAATCTCAAATATTTTACTAAAAGTTTTATCAAATGTCTCACATGGGTGTAGGATCCACACAATGTGAATCCTATATGAATCTCACACCCATATAAAATATTTGATGAAATTTTTAGTAAAATTATTAGGACTTTTTGTTTTTAATCGCTCATATGGTAACGTATTTTAGGTCTGTATGTGGAGGCAAATCTTTGGTTTTGTAGCTATTTGCCACCTAAATGAGATGGGGCAGTGCCAGGCACATGGCACATGTGGGGATGTGAAATTTTTGTTTTGGATAGGAATGTGTGCAGGTCAACTATCAGCACTTATGTTGTACAAACAAATTGGTTTACATATTTCATATGAGGTTTTTTTGTTTTTTTTTGAAATTTGTTATTTTGTGAGTTAACAATAATTCATGGAAAACAAATTGCTTACTTGTCCATGTTTTGGCCATTTTTGGAGGTTATTGTCCCCTTCTCAAAAAAAGACCTTCAGGTATGTTTGGGCTCAATTAAGATATCTGTTGTATCGTAAGGTCTATGCATAAAATGAATCTGAACCACAAATTAAAAATTATAAGTAATTTTTTTGGATTCATAGTATTATATGAAACTCTATTTTGGTCATGGTGGTTTGGGTTGGTCCAATGTCTAGGGTAAGATTATTTGGTACAGATATTGGAAGTAAGAGGAAAGGAGTGAGAGAAATTTGTTAGTTGTGCTGGTATTTTAACATTTTAGGTCACATTTGTATGGAAACAATTGTTAATACTTTTTTGGGTGAATACAATTGCCAATACTTTGTAACTCAAAACTCATCTAGATTTGTAGTTTCAAATACTATTAAAGCAAAATTACCAGTAACATTGAATAAAATCAAGAACATAAAGAAACAAAATCAATGCAAGCAAAGGCAAGTAGAACAATGGGATTCACTTATAAATACAAGATGGCAATGCAGATGCAGATGCAGATGTAGGTACAAGTACAAATACAGCGTGTGATCTGTAATAATCCAAAGAAGGAATATATTCGAAAACAGTTGAGAATAGTAAAAGAAACTAAGGCGAAACTGAAAGTGAATTAGGGACTTACAGAGTAGGACCGGAGAAATTGACTTTAGAGTCGCGTTCGCTGAAGTCAAATGTTAATCCTGATTGGAACGGAACGGTGGAAGGTTTGCCGGAGGTAGGGGTGTGCATAATACCGCCGAAACTGTCGAAACCGCCAAAACCGCACCGAACCGCACCGCCAAGGCAAATTCGTTATTATTTGTCAATCGAACCGCCGGTTTTTGGTAAGAAAAATGACAAATTCTAGTGACACTTTTATCAATCTGCCGGTTTCTATTTTTCTTCCAAACCGCACCGACCCGCACCGCTATTAAATCATGTTTTATAAGATTCTAAAAATTCTTTTTTACTTAAGTTTGCTTATTGTTCTATACCTTAGAATATAGTATTACATTACTGCTCGAAGAGAATTTTATGTATTGTATTTGATCATTGTAGCTTCCACAGATACTTGTAATGAACTAATGATATAGTCGTTGATATTATCATGTTGTTGCTACACTTGCTGCATCAGAAGAAAGCTTCGCAAGATGCTTAACATCACGGTATCTCTCGTCTTTTTTTTACTCTTTGATTTAAGTTTTGTAATTTGAATTATATTTTTTATAAACCGCCAATCCGCCCGAACCGCCAAGGCAAATCCGTCATTATTTGCCAACCGGACTGCCGATTTTGATAAGGAAAATGGCAAATTCTAGTGACACTTTTATCAATCCGCCAACCGCTATACGGTTTCTATTTTTCTCTCAAACCGCACCGACCCGCACCGCGCACACCCCTAGCCGGAGGGGACGAGCGGAGTAGTCGTAGAGCTTCAAGAGATTTGGAAATGGCGGAATGAGAGACATTTTAGAGAGAGAAAATCTGAGGCAAGAGATAGGGTTTGTGTTCGAAAAGTGAAGAGATGGAGAGAGGGGGAAGAAGGTTTTGTCAAAAACTGAAAAGGCGACAAAACATGATGAAATTGCCTTGGACAACGTGCTTGACAGGCAGCGTGGGCAGGATTGATATGACTTGATGGCGAGTGACAGGTACGAACCAGTAAGGTGGTGACACGTGGAAAAAAATGGTTGGGATAATGGTACGTGACAGCTCATGTGCAATTGAGATTCTTGGAATTCTTAGGCTAGTGGGGTCATGACCTCGGCTCAGAGGAGGTGCGATCTCGATTGAGATGTTGAAATAACTTGGTTCTTGGTTCTTGATGAAGTGGACACTTGAATCCTTGCTTCTTAGTGCCAACGAGTCATGATTTCGATCGGAGAAGTACATATATAGGTTCCATCACTTCAGTTTGCCAAGGTAATAGAACCTAGGGGCAGTTGCGGGGCAGTTGGGGGAAAGTATTTTGTGAATGACACCACGTGGCCGAGGTAGTTCTGAGATGTTGGCTAAAATGCCACGTGGATGTCGTAGTTGCTAAGATGATCACGGTATCACCGAAGTTCGGTGCGATAATACCGGGATCACGAGATATCTGGATAGAGGACAAGAGTCCTAGATAAGATGAGGCTCTTAGTCTGGATAAGGATAAGGTTCTTGAGGAGTTTATTCCTATCTCGTTGAGAGTTCGAGATGAGCACTGAGCTTCAGTCCTATGAAGTGAGACTTCTAGAGGATTAGGTCACTTCTGGCTATAAAAGTGAGGCACTCCTGTGGGTCCAAGGTACGTTTTAATTTATGCATTGAGTAGTTGTGTGAGATTTTTGAGAGATTGTTTGATTGACTTGATCGTCGGAGTGCTCTCGGATGGACGAAACACAGCGATATTCGCATTTTCTTGTTGACAGGTAAGGCTCAATCTATTCTGCTGCGTGCTTTCTAGTTAAGTTCTCTATTTAGTTGTGTGTCGGAAATCAACACCCATAATTGAATAAAATTTCAGAAAGGGAAATGAATAATTGAGTGAAAATGGATTATGTTTTAAAAATTGTCATTTACATGTTATTCTGAATAATAATTTTATAATTTTTTATTTAAAATTTAATTAAAAAAATACTAATGTAGGTTGTAGCCATTAAAAGGTATGGAGAAATCCAAAAAAATTGAAGAATGGGAATGGTGGAACATGCTGCGGCAAGTAGTACATAAAGAATGGTGGAATGATCCCAGTGGAGACTCACAATCAAATGGAATCAGATGCATATACCGTACACGTGCAGCCTTCTTATGCTGCTTCTGGTTCTGCTGGTGCTTGCATCATATAATTATGCTTTGTTCTCTGGCTTTGTTTTTTAGCCTGTACTCTGAAACTAGTGGTGGTCGCGCATGAGCTCTTGATCTTTGTGAGGTCTCAATCCTATATATATATATATATATTTATGTATTGTTCGTTTTCTTTTTTTCTTTTTTTGACTCTTGTTTTGTACTACTCATTAGCTTATGATTTCGAAATTATGAGATTTGTTGGTTTGATCAAAGTTATGAGCAATCCAGCATGGGCTTTGATCACCCACTTTTTATTTATTTTATTTTATTTTCTCAAAACTACAAAAATATTCTGAAACTTTCCCACTCATAATTGATAATTCCAAAATTTTGAAAATGGAGAGAACTTAAAAAAGTGGAAGAAAAAAAAAAAAATAAAAAATTGCAAAGCTTTGGTTGGAGATCCTACCGACAGTAGTCTTCTCTTTCCCATGATGCACTAATGGTTCTTTGAGAAAATTACATTTTGCATCCTTTAATTTTTACTTAAATTTCACTTTAGTCATTTTGTTTTTACTTCAACAAGTCATTAGATTTTTA